TGCCAGTGTGGCTACATTGTGTTGATCGTTGTATAAAAATGTGCATCGCTTTACTAAATATCCAATTTGCCGTTTTGTTTTAGACCTTTCAGGCGAGTGACAGACAAAGGTGTGCTGCTGTGGGACAGAATTCACAGGCTGGAAAAAGGGCAGATCTATAAACAGGTACTGTGCTCATTTAACAATTCTAATAAATCCCACTGGATACACTGCATGATGAAACAAATGGTTAATCTTTCTTTCTGTATGACTTTGGTATTCAGGGAAACCTTTATGAATTCCTCAGGCTGACCGGCTGGAGAGGATCCAAAGTACTCTACTTTGGAGATCACATCTACAGCGACTTGGCAGTAAGTTGCATATTTATAACAAAGCATTAAAACTACACCAAGGCCTGCAGTGTTAAAAATTATTGTACTATGAATACAAACAAAGAGTGGAACCCCGCTTTGACCATGCAGTGCTTTGATAATGCTCCATTTAGTGTGTTTTCCCAGAACTCAAAGGTCTCAGGCTGGATTATTCTTTACAACAATCTAAGTCTTACCTGTTCTGGAAGAAGACAACAGGGTTTGAAATATACAACTAAATGCACTGAAGCCTAGTTACTTAGACGCTGCATTGGGTTTGGCTGATAAATTAAAGGGAGACTTTTTAATAAGAGCACAGCATCAGGTCAGTTAAACTTTGGGGTATTGATCTGGTCAGTTAAGTAGCAGAGGGGGTTGTTAATAGGTTTTAGTTGCTTTCATGTTAATTACATTAACAACAGGTGCACTAGTGGAGCAACAATAAATCTACCCCCAAAACAGGAATGGTATTACAGGTGGAGGCCACAGAGATTTTTTTCCCTCCTCATATTTTCTGTCTGTTTTTCACTAGTTTTGCAGTAGTCCCACTCCTCCTCCTCCTCCTCCTCCAAGTCCTCCAGTCATACATGCAATTTCCATAAGGTTTACTGTGTCTCCCAGCACAGTCTCAGGAGCATGGAGGAGATTCCAGGAGACAGGCAGTTACTCTAAGAGGGCCAGACAGGGCTGTAGATCTGTTTTTGCACAAAAGAGCAGATACAGAGGAACAGGATGAGAATGCCAGAGCTGCAAAATGACCTCCAGCAGGCCATTGGTGTGAATCTGACCAGACAAGTAGAAACAGACTCCATGAGAGTGGCTTGAGGACTCAATTGGCATTTGCCATAGAATACCAGAAGGGCACCCTGTGCTTTTCACAGATGAGGTTCACCCTGAGCACCTGACAGACATAAAAGGGTCTGGTTTGGGCTTTATAATTGTGGAGAACGTTATGCTGCCTCTAATATTGTTCGGCATGACTGGTTTGGTGGTGGGTCAGTGAGGTCTGGGGAGGTATATCCACTGAGGCAGGGACAGATCTCTACAGGCTAGCCGACGGCACCATGATTCCCATTAGCTATCAGGATGAAATCCCTGGACCCATTGTGAGAACCTACTCTGATGCAGTGGGTCCTGGGTTCCTCCTGGTACATGACAATGCCTCATGTGTGAGAGTATGCAGGCATTTCCTGGAGGATTACATAATTGATACCACTGACTGACCTCAATGTTCGGCTGATCTGAATCCAGCAGAACACCTCTGGGACATTATGTTTTAGTCCATCCAACGCAGCCAGATTGAACGTTAACTGTCCAGGAGTTCAGTAATGCCCTTGTTCAGATCTGGGAGATTCCCCAACCGTTGTCTCATTAGAAGCATGGCCCAATGTTGTCAGGCATGCATGTAACCACATGGGCACCATACAAACTACTGAGTGTAGATTGATCATTTTGATTTTCATCAAATGATCTGGCTTCCTTTCATTCCTAACACATTACACAGTAGGTATCAGTACAGATATCCAGTAGGATTTTTTCCCCCCATTGACATTTGATGTGTTTTTAAAGTGATCACTTAAGTTTGTATGACACACCTGCTGTAAAGATAGATAGATAGAACTTTATTAATCCCTCGGGTAGGTTCCTCCGGGAAATTCACTCATGAGTAGCACAGCACATCACCACCTCTTATCTTTTCATGCCTGTAACTCAGGAACTGGCAACAGCTTGGACAAAGCAGGTTACATATATGTATAAACTTGATTAGCAGTAAAAGCTGATTATGAGAGGTAGATTTTATATCGTTGGCATGATGCCTTGCAGGTGGCAGGCAGCCAGGAGTCAGTTATGTCGTCTTGCTTGTTTAGAGAGATGGAAGCTGGTATTTTGTAGTTTACACTAGTCACAGCTTACACTCAGGCTGTCTGGCTGTGGAATGACCTCATTGCTGCAAGTGGGCACAGAGTAGAAACATTTCTGAGTTTCCTCTTTTTAATTACTCAAGTCCAAAACATGTTCCCGCTTTGGATGTGTTGCAGATGGCATTTTCAGAGGTCATGTTCCTCTTAACTAGCAGATGAAATTGTTATAGTTTAGTTCTGATTATCTGTCTTTACTTAGACATACTACCGTAAGTACTGAAACACTGTGTGTTCTGTGTTTATTATTGTTTAATCAGAATCAGAATCGTGTTTATTGGCCAAATATGTGCAGACACATACAGGGAATTTGGTTCCGGTAGATGGTGGCTCTCAAGCACAAGCACAGCAATGTAACACACACACACACACACACACACACACACACACACACACACACACACACAAAGCTGTGTAAACCAACTATAAATAACTAATCTAAACTTATATACATAAAATACAGAAATGAAATGAGGTGGAATGAATACTACAGAATATACATAAGGTGCAGTTTCAGTCTGGCAGTGGGAGCAGTGTGACAGGTCAACTGTTAAGAAGGGAGATGGCGAGGGGAAAGAAACTTTTCCTATGTCGGGTGGTCCTGGTCTGCAGGCTTCTGTACCGTCTGCCAGAGGGCAGCAGATCAAAAAGTCTGTGTCCAGGGTGTGAGGGGTCTGTGATGATTTTCCCTGCCCGTTTCCTGGTTCTTGAGAGGTACAGATCCTGGATGGAGGGCAAGGGGGCACCGATGATCCTTTCTGCTGCCCGTACAGTCCGCTGCAGTCTGCTCCTGTCCTGTTTAGTGGCTGCACCATACCAGACAGTGATGGAGGAGCACACGACAGACTCAAATGATTTATTTCCTCCATACCCTGTGCTAAAGATTCACGGCTCAAGCCCCAGACTGAAGGAGTATATTTCTAAATTATTGGCCTATCATGATCATGAAGATGGATCTACTGATCTTTTGTTCAACAGGATCTAACACTGAAACATGGCTGGAGGACGGGTGCCATCATTCCTGAGCTGAGGAAGGAGATTAAGATCATGAATACACCAGAGTACGTCCACATGATGACCTGGTTACAGTCACTGACTGGACTTATTGAACAGATGCAGGTCAGAAACCTAGTATATCATCCCTCCTCTTAGTTTTTTATTTGTATTATTATTGTTATTGTACTTTATAAACTTTAATTTCATTCTTAAAGTTTTTTTGGTTCACATTTATGCACTGCTCTCTAACAGGTGCACAGGGATCCAACGTCTCGAGCTGTGGTCGAGGAGTGGATCAAAGAAAGAGAAGCCATGAAGTAATAACAAAATGTTTTATTTATCTAAAACCATTTTGGATAATTTTTAGAGATATTGTGGAATCGATCTAACCATATCTCAATGGTTGTGTTTTCATATATTACAGGCCTCATACCAAGGACATCTTCAATGCTCAGTTTGGAAGTCTCTTTCGAACATACCACAACCCCACTTACTTCTCACGCCGACTCTCGCGCTTCGCTGACATCTACATGGCCTCCATCAGCTGCCTGCTCAACTACGACTTCCAGCACACCTTTTTCCCTCGCCGTACTCCTCTGCAGCACGAAGCCTCCTACTGGCCCGAGCACGGTTCTGCCGGTTTAGGTGCCTCCTCTCCATCTCCACAGGACCAAAGCAGAGTGTGATTAGCAACAGAAAACCACCGTAAAAAGCAAAACGCAGAGGCTGAATGATCTCAATCATTCGTTCATTTATTTAATTTTATTTTCTTCAGCATGCCACATTTTGAAGTGAGCTCCAATGGTGACAGTTGATGTAAACTGTTTATGAAATTTGTGCTTTAAATTAGTAATTTATGTCCTTGTAAAACAACAAGTCTTAAGATGAGTAGTTTGTGTTTGACAGAATTGTTTAATTAAACGAATAGATGATTTTATGCAGTACAAACAACAGGGGGCAGTCACGCACCGTTTTTGTTTTCTCCTATTTCGAGCTGTGAATTGCACACAAATCATCTATGCCTTTTATGTCCTTTGCATCTGTGGGTGTAATGGATATTTACAGTTACATTACAGACTGCGTTGCCTTAATCCCTTTGTTTACGTTACTGCAGTATTTACTTTTTGCAACACCCTGATATAACTTTGTTGCAATTAGCTTTTTCAGAAAAACATTTGCCAGCCACAATCTCCGTTGATGTCATTATTTGCTGCACATTGTCAAGCAAACTGCACTTTGATGTTCTGAGACGTTTAATAGTTTTAGGAGTTCTCACACAGCACAGCCTGTATGTCTCATTTTAGCACGTGAGAAATGTTCAATTTTCTCAGGAGAAAAAAAAATTGAACATCATCGCTATATTTAGCATGAATGTTGCTTTTTGATGTGTGAAGGAAGCTGCGTTTTGGGTTTGTTAGGTTTGACACTTTTGTAGGAGATGAGTAAAATGTTTTGTGCTGTAACCGTGGCTATATTTTATATATATATATATATATATATATATATGCTGGAGTTTTTAAAAAAGGAATATCAAAGGGAAAATTACAGTGGCCACAACCATGACCTCATAGTCTTGGTCTGTAGTTTAAATGATGTGTTTATGAAGTGTTTACTTACGGTCTATTTCATTATTTATTAAACTGGAAATGGCCTGATCCTAACCCAGTGATTATGTCGTCATTTAAAAGGGCATGATCTGATCTGCCGACTTAATTAGCACGTATGTGTTCACTGAATGAGTAATCCATTCATTCTTTGCTTATGTTATTGGTATTATTACCTATTCAAACAACAAAAGGTTTCATAGTTGAAATTTAATTTTCAGGACTAATTGCACCGGTGTTAATAACCACTCGAGTTTCTAATTACAGTTATAGCAGAGGGTTTATTGGGATTAATCCCCCACCCAAATCGTGTTACTGACTAATTTACCGTATTGCATCTGGGGCTTTAACTGTCAGGCAGGTGCAGGCTCTGGGATCTTAGAAAGAAAAAAAAAAAGCCTAGTGCTTTGACAGGGATCAAAAATGATCAAACCAATGATATTGGCTCCTGAGCTGAGGAGAGAGTATCTGGGGGTTCAGTCCCTGACCTCATAGATGCTTCATTAAGGCTGGATAGTTTGGGCACCATGGACACTAACAGCACACCTCTGAGCTCCAGCTCTCCATTCCCTTCCATCCAAACTGAGGTGGTGACCGTACCACCAACCATCTTCCCTCATGTGGGCTACAGCATCCTTTCTTTCCTCATGTTCATCAACACGGTGCTATCAGTGTTTAACAACAGTGTGGTCATAGCCGTGATGCTGAGGAATTCGGCTCTCCTACAGCCAATGAACGTTTTGATCCTCAGCCTCGCTGTGTCTGACCTCATGATAGGCCTTTGTGGCTCCCTGGTGGTCACCATCACAAACTACCAAGGCTCCTATTTTATTGGACACACAGCCTGTGTGCTCCAGGGATTTTCAGTCAATTACTTTGGTAAGTTTAGTTGTTATATGCGGTGTTTTTGTATGTGTGTGTTTCTGGAGTTCAGACTTTCTGTCTGTCTTACTGCCTTTGGTCCATAAAATCACATTATATTCTACCATTCTTATGCACGTGACACTCAGTTGTATCTATCATTTTACTCTGATGATGTAAATTCTGTTCTCAAACTAATGAGCTGCATTGATTGCCGTATGCCTTGAAACTTTTTACAACTGGACAGGGACAAGACAGAAATACTTGTAGTTTCTTATTTATTATCCCTGTCTCTGAAACACAGTGAGCAGTGAGCTGAGTCAGGGACCTTGGCATTATTTTGGACAGTGATCTCAGTTTTGATAATTACTCATTTAACCAGAACTGCTTTCTAGCACTCAAAAATATATTAAAAGTTGGAAAATTCTTATCTCAAACTGACTTTGAGAAACTGGTTCATGCTGTCATATCAAGGATGTTCGAATATTATAACGCTGTGTTTTCAGGACACTCCAAATCATCAGTAGAATTACTTCAACTCATTAAAAACGCAGCAACCAGAATTCTTAAAGGTATGAAGGACAATGATACCCCACTATTGAAGGCACTGCACTGGCTCCCAGTACAGCATGGAATTACCTTTTAAATCTTTTTAATAGATCACAAAGCTCTTAATGGTTTGAACACCCCCAGTACATCTCTGACTTGCTCACTGTTTATGACAGAGTCAGACCTCTCTGGTGATCAGGTGTAGATCTTGACGTTCCTAGAATCAGATCCAAATATGCTGATGGTGCTTCTTTTAGATACTATTGTCCTGCTCTTTGGAACAAGCTGCCTGCTGACCTGAGATCAGTTACATCTGTGGCAACATTCAAAAATAGACTCAAAACCTTTTTTGTTCAAACAGACCTACACACAGAGGTTTATATGTTTGTTTCTTCTGTTAAGCACATTGAGTTTACACATAATAAAATGTAGTGTATGAATCCAGTTGCCACTGTCATTCTGTCACAGTGAGACATACTAATTAAAATTACTAATGCTTTAGATTTCAGTGCCAAATCACAACAACAGTTGCCCAGGGAGCTTCATATTATAAGGTAAAGACCCTTACAATAATCGAGAGAAAATTATCCTTGTAAGCAAGCATTTAACAGTGGAAAGGAAAAACTCAATTTTAACAGGAAGAAACCTCCAGAAGAACCAGACTTAGGGAGGAGCCTGAAAGCTGAAGGCTCTGCTTCCCATTCTGCTTTTAAATATCCTGGGAACCAAGAAACATTAGAAAATCTTACATTTTTGGAGCATCTTTTTTAGCATTTCAAGAAATGACTTTTGTTTCTTTTGTGTTTTATGAATGTTTTCTTTGCATGTAGAGTTTAGTCACATGTCAGATTTATCAGATATCTTCTTCATGACACCCGAGCATACTCAAAAATCATTGGAGTTGATAACTCTATAAAAGAAAAGAAATCCGAGTATGCCTTGAACTGTCTAAATGTCAGTTATGTTTTCTTGTTGTTGTCTTGTCTAGGTTTGGTGTCTCTCTGCACTCTTACTCTTCTTGCCTATGAGCGATACAATGTGGTATGCAAGCCAAAAGCTGGTTTAAAGATGAAGATGCGGAGAAGCATCTTTGGCTTGCTGTTTGTCTGGATCTTCTGCTTGTTTTGGGCTGTGGCGCCATTATTTGGCTGGAGCTCCTACGGACCTGAGGGGGTCCAGACATCCTGCTCACTGGCCTGGGAAGAGAGATCATGGAGCAACTACAGCTATCTCATTTTCTACACACTCCTCTGCTTCATTATTCCAGTTGCAATCATCATCTACTGCTACTTTAAACTGCTGAAATCTATGAATAAGGTGGGTGTGTAATAGCTTTTGCTTATTCATTACACCATTTAAGCAACATTTAAAATTCATGCATCTATCTATGTTTGCTTGCAGTCTACCGCATGCATAGTAAAACAAGTAATTAGCTTTTAATGTGGCCCAACGTTGCTCTCTTCTAGCTGAACAGGAGTGTGGAGCTACAAGGTGGGCGTTCCAGCCAGAAAGAGAATGATCATGCCATCAGTATGGTGTTGGCTATGGTAGTAGCATTTTTTGCCTGCTGGCTGCCCTACACAGCATTGTCATTGGTGGTAGTTATAGATCCAGAGCTGCACATTCCTCCTCTAGTTGCCACCATGCCAATGTACTTTGCCAAGACGAGTCCAATCTACAACCCCATCATCTACTTCTTTTCCAACAAACAGGTAAAAGCACACAGGTACTGTAGAACTGAGATAAAATCTTGATTGTGAACAAAGATTGAAGAAACACTGTTTGTGAAATTATTGCTCATATTTCCTGACAGTTCTTGTTCTTGGTTGTTTTTTTTTCCTATCAGTTCCGTGATTGTGCTCTGGAGGTGCTGTCTTGTGGCCGTTACATTCCTCATGGGTCCACCAGTGTCAGCATCCGCATGCACTCTGTGAACAAGGGGAGCTGGCTGTCCTCCTTTGGCAGAAGCGTCAACACACACAGCAAGGTGTTGCCTCTGTGACAAAAAAAAGCTGTCATGGTTGTCAGCGTTCACTGGTGCCTCATCAAGAAGACAGACCAGGACACCTACAGACTCGAGTCTGTCACAGAGGTACCAACGTTGTTAGAGAACAGAATCAGCTCAGAGGCTGACAGGGATATTCAGAAGGTTGGACAAAAAAACAGGAAACTTCACAATAAAATGCTGTAATGCAACCCAATACCATGTAAATGTTGTGTTATTTTTTTGTTTTAAATGTATTTTCCTGACTAGAATATTATATTGCGTGGTTATTTTGTAGTCTCTTCTTTTGATCTGTAACATTTTACTAACAAAACCAGTAATGATTTTTACTTATGAATTGAAGGAGATATATAACAAACAGAAATACACTACATAAAAAATGTATGTGGTTTTCAATTTCTTTCCATTTTTAAACACACTAGGATGGTTAAACACACCCAGACTGCAGAGAAAGACTGCGGGAAACTGAAATCCTAGACTTTTTTTCTTCTTTTTTTTGCATAAATTTAATGCAGTGGCTCTTTTTCTACTCATTTTACTCATATAAGACGTCATTTCCTATTTTTCTTCCTAATATTGTTGAACTGTTGGGTAATGAATTGTTAATTCATGCATATAGTAGACTGTGTGACCCTTTTTACATTAGGAGGACTGTTCTGGGAATAGGTGATCTGTTTTTATGGAAACTATACAGCACACCATCCTCCTGTGTGATAGCATTATGCAACAACAACAAAAAAATTTGAATTAAAGTCAACAGTAGCCAGCTCCGTGGTCTAATCAATACTGACAGCTTGGTCAAATAATTTTATTTGTTTTTGGATTATGCAATAAGTCCTTCCTTTTCCCAACTCTCACACTTTCCAAACGTCTGCTGCACAAAAACATTGCTCCGGCATTATTTCTTTGTCGAGCGCCTTTGTGAATACACAATGTACTCGGTAAAATTATTATTTTTTATTCTAGGGAAATAGCAAAGAAAAAATAATGTGCTTAAATCAGTTTTTCTCTACCCACAAAATCGCATTAGGAAAACATGAGAAATTTCGGTGCACTTGTTAAGCAAGCTTGCTGCACAGCTCACCTTGTGCATGTTTTAACAATGAGTAGTCAGTCAGGCAGTAAAAGACTTTCATTTTACTTGGTTAGCCTGCTCTGTGGTCTGGCAATTTTTCATTTGTATTATTTTGTGCTTTTTCGTCTGTGTAGACAGTTCAAAGGGGCATTAGGCGGTTCAGAGAAGGGTAACATAATAACATCTCTGGGTCTGATTCAAAGGCAGGACATCGTGTCCCACGTGACACGTTCCTGAAGCAACGATGAGTCACGAAGAGAAAAATGCATTGCTGATTAACGATGGAGTAAAAGCACCCAGTTGAGGAGAATTTTTTTTCACTCTTGAGTTGGTGCTAACAAACAGGATAATTCATTTAAATCAATCACTGTAACAATCCATCATTAGTTTTACTCAAAAATTACTATGTGACAAGTCAAACTTCAGCTTTGAGCAGCTGGACCGTTCCGTCTGTGAGCAGCAGATCAGTTTTTCAGTGGTCCTAGTCAATGAAATCCAGCCACTCAGTCTCAGGCTTCAGGAACAGCCACAAGCACGGCGAAAGAGCTAGTTTCCCCTTTGGCGCACTGTAGTTATAAAACTGTAGCAGTATTTTTAAATTAAATCTACACGTCACATTACATCACATTACACTGTGCACAGCTGAGTGATATCTTTCAGGTAATTGTTTAGTGCTCTGCTACAATATTTTACATTGTCTTTTTTTTGTCTGTATGTAAGCTTTGTTATATTAGTGTGAATCTGTTTCGCTCTCTTGCTCACATTGTTCCCACCCACCTGTTTGGTGCGCTGTAAATATTGCAGATGGGCATCTGCTTCGGAATAAAGTGTTTTTGATCTTTTATCTTGTGGTTATAAGCTGCACATTGTCTTTGGCGTCCAGATATTGTCAGATGTGCGATAACTGATTTTGTTCTTTTCCAGAACTTCTGATTTGATTCCATATGTTACTGGAAGATATTTGATCAGCCTAATATGTTAATGATCAAAAGCAAAATGCATTATATATTAATCTAATCCCAGATTTGGTGTAGTCCATAGCTTGCATATTTGAAGCAAAGAGCATTTCACACTTTATCTCCAAACAGGATTACACAGTGTCGTGCAATAATCCTGCAGCATTGCTCGCTTTATATCCTGAGCCAATTCAAGAACTCCCAAGTCATCCATCTGGCATGCTTAATGCAAAGCTTTTAACCTTTGTGGTGCACTGTATTAATATGACACGGACAGCTGTTCAGTTCGCACATATGCGCACAGTATCCTGTGCATTACAGTGCCATGCCGTCATCATCGCCGCATTATAGATTTGAACCCCTGCCTGGTTTTTTTGTGTTTTTTTTGCAGTTATATCAGGATTGAGACAATGGTGACGTAATTGCTATTTAATTAACAGCCATCGTTTCCCCCCAGTTGTCTCTGCTGTGAATACACTGCAGAGCTTTTAATGAATGTGAACACTGAGGACTCCCAGGTGACCCGCCGGTGCTGTCGAGTGATAATGAAAAGGGCGGATTCTTTGGCGCAAATTGTCTGAGCTACAGGTTTACCAGTTAATATTATTCATTCAGTGGCGATAAGGGACGCAGGCTTGACGTGCGTTTGGTCAGCGTGGAAAGAGTGATGATAAAGAACTAAATATGTTGGCTCTTTGAATCCAGAGATGAGAGGCGAGCCCACACCTGCACTAGACTCTGGGAACAATACAGCCTTGGAGGAATACGTTGAAATCGCATTTGTGCTGGCGAACAGCTTTATTCTCTCCAGCACTTCTGTTGTGGGGGCTGCGGCAAATGTTTTTGTCATACTGGCGGTGTATCGGCAAAAGTCCCTGCAAACTTCCAATAACGCGCTGGTGGTCAGTCTGGCTGTTATAGACTTTCTGAGATGTGTAATCGATTGCCCGGTTCTCTTAACCATCGTTGTGAGTGTGTATCGAAACAGAAAAGTGGACAGTTTCATCTGTGATGTACAAATGGCCTCTTTTTCATTCAGCTGCTGTATCCAGTTGTTAACACTGGCGTGCATAAGTGCAGAGAGATACCAGGCCATTGCACAGCCCTTCAAAGCCAATCAAAGGAAAAGGCGAATTAAGGCGCTGATTCCTCTCACATGGACCTTCGCTATTCTGGTGTCTGCTTTTTGTGTGATATTTTTGAGGGACTCACCTTTGCATATGAAATGCCAACGACAACAGAGAGAAACGTTATTCTCTTTTGACAAATTTGGGCTTTACATGCTATTCCCACTGTGGGCAGCGTGTTTTGGTGTCATCATTGGATTCTACGCTCGCATATTTGCCCTGGTGAGATCACACAGCCGTAAAATATTTGACAAAGGTACTTTTACTCTTGCTACAAAAGACAAAAATGAAGAGAAGCCGGAGACAGAAAAAGCCGCAGTGGTGGAAAATGAATGTGGAAGATTTGAGCAAAACCCCACTTTGAGCTTAGGCAATGCTCAGACACAAGCTGAATCAAATTCACCCAAAGAAAAATCAGTACAATCTGTCTCCATCAATTCAGAGGATAAGAAAGAATTTAAAGATACAGTGAAGATGAGCAATGCAGAAACAAAACAAGCTCGGCCCCTTCCAGTACAGGCTACAGTGCTTACTGAGAAAAAACCTTTAAAAACAGAGCAGTCAAACCCCCATGTCATGAAGGTTGAAGTGAATCTGTCAAATGGAGATGCTGATTCAAATGTTAAGAGCTTAACCACAAAGCGGGCGTCAGTCAGTTTCAACACACAGGAACAGTCCAAAGACAGACTGAAGTCTGAAGAAGAATCCAAAGAAAACAGCCTCCTGCAGCCCCCATCATTGCCTGCACCAAATGTAAATTCTCAGTCTACTACTATCTTACTGACAGAGCCTGACCAAGCCCTAAACAACAATGAAGGAGAAACACTGACTGTTGCCTCACAGGCTCAGGTGACCGCTTCACCTCCAGTCTCAAGCAACGTCCCCGAAACAGAAGCAATGCAACTCCCTGCAGCGGTAGAAGGGGCTGTTTGCATGATGCCTTCAAAAGCAAGTAAAGAGAGAGCAAACAAAAAGAAAGAGGGCAAAATGGCTAAACGTGCTGGCTATATAATTCTAACCTTCCTCTTATTCTGGTTACCACTGATCACAACGATCCTGGTGAATTACTTGGTTCACAAAAACACAAACTCACAGGTAAGTGCCTGCAGAAATAGGCTTGTGATTTCTCTCTATTATTGCAGGGTCGTTACCTTACAATACAAAACACGTCGGGGGGGGGGGGGGCTGTTGCTGTGATTTAGTGCTATGTAAATGAAATGGGATTCACATGAAAATCTCTGTTGTGTTATACAAAGTTAATCTAAAGATCTCTTAATTCTTAAAATTGCCTATTGTTTTTCAGATAATTATCATTGAAGACATGGAGGTCCTGTCAGTGTCTGTTGCCTGCATCACGTCACTAAGTGACCCAATCATATACGCTGCAGTAAACCCTCAGTTTTCTTCAGAATTTTATCGGCTGAAAAACAGGATGAAGTCCATATTTCATAAGAAAAGATAGACTTTCCACCCCTATAAACATCTTTTAAGTGGCTCTAGACCCAATGACTGTATTCATATTCGCTGTGCAAGTGAATATAGAATTTAATAACGTTTGTCTAGTCATTGTCCAAATATTAACTAAATTAAATCCCAGTTGTCAAAGTGGGATTTTTCCTTTTTTTTATTTGGGTATAAGAAGCTTATTATTTTATATGCCGCTGCGTTATCTTAGATTTTATGCAGGCTGACTTCTCAGCAGTTACTAAACACTGCAGAGCAGAGGCAGTGCATGCTGTGAGAAGCTGCCTGGACTAACGCAATCAGCTCTGCAGGGGAGGTCGGTGCTGCGCTCTCTGTCAAACAATCACAGAGGCCTGCAGTCTGCCTCCAGAGACC